TATTTAAGCTGTAGCTGTAGGCGCTCCTTTCTGGCACTTTCTAGTGAAGTCCTTCCCATCGTGTCACCGTGCTTCATTCATATGGTTAGCCGGTGCTTTGGATTTGGGGTAAGATCCTTGTGGCCACCCCCTGAGAAGGCGTGTAGTTGCTCGATGGAACCGCTGGGCTTGTAACTTGACACCTGGCCGTGCGGTGCATTTGCCATCGCTTTACCCACAGAAAGCCTATTTAAAAAGGAAAGGGATGAGTCCAACGCTCCTGACTCCGTAACCCCCTTTCAAAAGACCCCAGCTTTCGCTCTCCCTCTCTCTCTCTCTCTCTGGCCGCGCGTCCGTCCAAACCGGATCGGCATAAATGAATGAAACACAAGGGAATATCGACAGACAACCGCACAGGAAAACTCTCTGTCAAAGCAGCCTGTCAGGAGGAATTTATACTGGACTTGACAGGCAATTCAACATGAGTTTTTTCCTCTGGAACTTCACCTCAAGCTTGTCAAATGCGTAAAGCGGCGACCGGTGCGACCTTTTTTTGCCCCCCTTGCAAAGGAGTCACACTGTGATTAAAGGATCAGGTTTTTGACTGCCAGGACAAATGAATACAAATGAATTTAGGCACCCGAAGGAGAGATTGCAGAACCTCTCATCTAGACACAAAGTAAGTGACATTTGTTATCACTGTTTTATTTGATTCTAACGATTTTTTTTTGTGTTATGTGAACGGGAATATTCAAAACATGATGTGTACCGAAAAACAGTTTAAAGACCTGGATGCCTCCATGTGCGTACCTGATAATGTGCCGGCTGGCTGTTGTCCAGCTCACAGTGAAGAAATTATGTCCACATGGGGAATGCTGAGTCTCTGAATCGGGTCTGTTTGGACCATGGGTGTAATTTGTTATTTGCATGGAAGACCAAACAACTCCATTCGTGCAGATATTTTTACCTCCCCTTTATCGGTTCTTACGTGAAAAAGCCGGTTCATTCGGACGCAGTTTGCGTAGGTCGTGTTTAATATCTGCAGGCAGTTCGTTGACATTACTGGAAGTGTTCACTGAAGTGACTCATCTGACAAAGCAAGCGAATTAGGGAATCATTCTTACCCATAAAGTTTCATGAGAGGTCCATCTGTCTGTGAAGGTTCTCAGTCATCCAGGTCATTGTAGTCAAAGGCGCTTGCAAAGAAAAGCGTCTGGACTTCTTTAAGTTACTTGAAGACGTTTCACCTCTCACCTCTCATCCTTTAAGTTACTTGAAGACGTTTCACCTCTCACCTCTCATCCTTTAAGTTACTTGAAGACGTTTCACCTCTCACCTCTCATCCTTCAGTTCTAAGGTCAGTTCTACCTTAGAACTGAAGTTCTAACACAGAACTTAGTAGTGGAGTCCCCACCATT